GTTCCTTGGGCTAGACCTGACATCAATCAAATGTTTTTCTCCCTGAGCCTGGCCTTCATAATTCCATTCCATCACAAGTTGCTTCCATTCTGTGTAACCAGTAGGGTGCCAAAGGACATCCTGCGTCTGCTTCTAATTCCTTCTTCAGAGTTTTGCTTTAGATGAGCGTAATGGGCTTAGCTTTTATTTACCCCAAAGTAAAAATGGAGGTAGGTAAGGATTGGGCTGCTACAAAGAATAGCACACATATGCCACCTATGGCCAAAGCTATTGGGAACTGAAGTTGGAGAAGGTCAAAGGCCACCTCGCTGTCTTCCAAATAATTCTAGTATATATTTCTTTTTCATAGTCTAGAGAATTGCCCAAGTTTTTAGATGGCAGTAAATTACTTCCTGAAAGTAAGTTAGAAAAAGGTGATATGCAGGAGTGGATGGGAAGGATGGATGCTTTAGAACCTGGACAGCTGCTGCCATCTAGCTACTGGGTTAGATGGATCAACTGTCCAAGCTGGAACAAAGGATCTGTCCAACTGGCCCTCTTCTACCCTGTATCCATCTCTGTCAGCTGCTGACTTCCCAGTCGGTCTGCATTTGGAATGTGGAACACTGTGACCATCATGACTGCACATACCTGATGCATTCCCTCAAATTGGCCTTCCATATTGGGTCATATTTGCTGTAAAGAAACTTGGCCCGAAATGCAATACTCATGGCCAGCATTTTGTGTAACGTTTCCCTCGGATAGTCTGACTGAAGATAAAGGCATATGTTTAATTTGGATTTTAATTCAGACTGATCTAATTCACACTTCCTGATCTAGCGCACAAATGCGAATGCAATTATCTTTTGGTTTTCACATGTCAAATTTTGCAACGCAATTCACACAAGAAATACATATGAAAGTATATATAGTTAGGAAAACTATTTTCAACCTTACCACTAAATAAATAAATTATATAAATATTCCAGGAATATAAAAAAAACATACATATTTTCACAAAAAATATTCTCTCAGAAGAGCCACAAACTGACGAATAGGATAGAACAAACTTCGAACTTTCCCAAAGTTTAGAAAGTGCAAGAGTCAGGTTGGTTCATCTTTTGAGAAGAAACAGAGTCAAATTTTTCCAATGTTTCTGAGAAATCACTGCAAAGGGATTGATATGACAGAGAGAAAATGACTCACACCAGAAACCAGTGGAGGTCTGCAAAAGTTTCGTATAACTCCCAAGTCCACCTATGCTCCAAATTGCTGGACTGCATGGAGCCTATGATCCTGCTGTCTTTGTCAACTCTTGCCCTACTTTCATGTCCCAACATCCTTCCTACACTTTGGAAGTTGACTAGAAAATCTTAAAGTTGTGCAATGATTTCTACTCTGTTTTTAATAGCATTTGAATAAAGAAAATGTGCTATTTGATTCATCATAAGATACAGAACAGTATGAGCTATAATTTTGCATATTTAACAGTGACCACTACTAAATAGGCTTGGTAGCTGGACTATCAGGTTTCAGCATCTTCTGAGCCACCACCATTAAAGAGAAAATTGTTTCCTGTTTAGATGTAATTAAAGGTATGATCCATTTCATTTACATATCCCCGCAAACATTCTTTGTAAAACAACAAATACGAATAGTAGCTCATTTGCAAGGATTTTTCCCCAAGCTTTCAAAAGAAGCTTACCGATGAAGCAGGAATTTTAATTCAAAAATATGCCTTGTACACTAATTCCTAGGTAGCTATGTTCCATTCAGACGGGCTGTTAGTAGGAGGTCATAAACTGATTTGGCGCAGATGATGTTGAGCACTCAATAGGAGCCTTGTAACAATGATCAGAAAGCCTTTGAGGTTTTGCATAAAAGCACCACAATTGTTTATGAGGTCAGAGAATTGGACCATTCCATATTCATGTCACAGATTACCTAGCATTTGCTACTGTCCAGTTTTTGTGTTTACACCAAAAAAACAAAGCCCTTTTGTTTCCTAATTCCTTGGGTGCAATTCAGATTTTTTGCACAGCATGCATTTTGCCTCAATGCTGCAACTGAATACCAAAAGCAAAGGCATGGTTTTTTCCTATTGTCAGTTGCTCCTTGCTCTTTATGGTCCATAGGTGACATTAAGAACTGGTATATGCATATGTTTTGTTGGGTTCCACCCATCATTTGCAGTGGCCCTAAATGTTGTACCAGAATTTAAAGTTAAAGAGGTTTATGTGGCCACAACCATACATGAACATACACATGCATACAAACACCCTCATACATATTGTAGGAAACTAGCACTGATGTCCAGAGGTCTGAGCAAATGAAGCTGTCTCATAAGATGCATAACCTACTTGCTTTTGGGGAGTGATTTGAACACTAGTTGCCCAGAGAATACCTGAAGGTATCAAAACTAAGCATATCCCATCATATAAGTTACCCAGACACAAAATCAACTTAGACAAATATTGGCATGGATCACAATAGAACCCATTCTATGTACAGAGAGAATCACAGGGGCAAGATGGCCACAGATGAGTTAGGAACAGATGATTTTCCCAAATTCCTCCATCTCTGAAGCCCACCAAGACCCCTTCCCCTACTAACTCCCAATATAGGTGGTCCACTGAGTGGTACTAAGAGGTATGTGGCTGTTATATTAGAGATAATAGATTGAAACTAGCAGTCATTATGGATCTCACCCTCCCAAGCATATTTTCTAAAGTCAAAAGGGGAATTGCCAAAATTCATTCCCCCCTCCAATAACAGTATCTGGTAAGTCTGGTCTAGTGAATGTATGATCCCAGCCAATGAAGGCAATCTCAGCTGACATATTGTAGTAAACATAAAGACTCCTCTGAATTGAACACAACTTCTGGAGGTTTCTTGGACACATTTCCCAGCCTACCCTCCAGCCCTGGTATTCTGGGGAGGTCTCCTATCTGAGTACTAACCAAGCTCACCCCTTCTAGGCACTGCCACCAAAGGAGATGCCTACTGCATTACACTATGAATAGGCTTTTCTCCTCACACAGCTCACACAGCTGCACCTCCAAAAGCCATCACCCTAGCCTTTAGATGGTATTTCAAGATAGATTTGTTCTCTATGTCATTAGCCTAATATAAACACTGAATCATAGATGTTTTTTTTATTCTCTCAGGCTTCTGTTTATTTTGTAAACCCCTTGGCCTCTTTCCTGCCTTTTTTTAAATCTTAGCCTAAATCCTGAAATTAATTAAGAAATGCTCAGCAAAATGATAACCTTAATTATAAAGACAACCTTGGTGACCTAATTTCTTGCTGCAGTCATGTAATATTAGATGCTTTCCAGCGTTGTCCACAAATCTTACCTTCATAGTGTGTATGCATGCCCAAGAAATAATAGAGGAGCCCTACTTCTTACCAGACAGGCTCATAAATACATGTTAAACTTGCATTATGTAGAAGAAATGGGATATTTAAGATTTATTTTTTATTTTTCAAAAGCTGCTATTAGATTTATGCAGCTATTGGCAGGAGGATATCCAGACATAGATGGATAATTTATGTGTATATCTAATCAAATAACTTGCTACCTGGTCCATAGTTCAGATATAGTTCAGAGGCTATTTAGCTTCCTAAGAAGAATTTTAGGGTTATGGTTTAGCTATAGAAGGAAATAGAAAGGGAAATATTGTATGTACCAGATCCTGACAGGGCCAAGTATTATCAAGGCTTCCCCACACAATGTTTCTGTTTTGGTTCAATCTAGGTAGCTTAATTTATGATTACTGTTCTAAATTCAACTGATTATGATTGAAAAGTACAATGTGGAAGGATGTTAAAGCATACAGAGAACACTTAAATGTAATTTGGGGCTAATGCCTTTTAATAAACTTTTAAAAATTAAGGCAGCCTTCTCCTCCCATTGGCGATACTGGATGAGAATGGGAGTTGCAGTCCCGCAAGTAGGAAAACACCGCAATGAGGAAGGCTAGCCTAACAAATTGTATCATTTTGTACTGAGTAGTAGCAGCATCATTCTACCTACGCATATACCTGAAAGGCTTTCGCTTCAGTGGAATTTATTCCCAAGCTCATTTGCTTATAATCAAGGTCTATGTCCGATCAAGATATATACAGCTTCCTGCTGGAAGTGGAAAAAGAGAGAGAGAGATTTTTAATGTTAAGATAAATCTTGTGTGATTTAAATATGTACGAATTATCTGTTGTTGGACATTATCTTTAGATCATATGTGTCCCAGACTTCCTTTTAATTGTGATTAGGAAAAACAGGCGTTCTGTTAAAAGAAAACTCTAACATGTTAGGATCTGAGCATATTATTGTCATCACGGTCCACAGCCCGCAGTCCTTTTTACCAGTCAGTCTGAGCCTTCTCTCTTTAATGCATACATATTCCTAGGAGAGTTAAAACAAGCAATTCTCCTACCCCCTCTCCCTCCAGCACACACTCACAGTCCCTCCAAATATGGTAATAACTTTATACATCACAGGTTGAACTTGTAAAAAATCAGTCCCAGCTTGTCTTTCCTCTTCGTTATGCTTGCGATGAGATCATGGTGCTCCACGGAGAGCTCAAATTCTTTAACTTGACAAAAGACATAGGTGAACATGTCACAGTTTTACAGTTATGCAGAGCTCAGATGCTGTAAAGATAACAAGAACTGTTCTGTGCTTGCCCATGCTCTGAATGTGCGTTAATCTAAAATGGCTGCTCCGTAATACTTTAATTGCAGTTTCATGGCAACAAATTGCCACTTAACTGTAATAAATTTTCTTACAGCTAAGCCAGACTAACAATGCAGGCATGCACCTGAAAGAAAAGAGGACAATAGAAGTCCGGGACTTTCTGTTCAATGACATCAAGACACAGGAGAGCAAACAGTGATCCAAGCCAAGATAGTCACACACCAAAGCTTTAGCATAAAGAAACCTTATACACGCCGTAATCTCATTCATGATCTTTATTAGGCGAGTGCTATTTGAAATACATTTCTCAGGCATTGGAGTCTTGCAAACTTTTGGAATCATGATGATAAATCTAATTGCTAATAAATTATAAATCTTGCTTTGTTAAGAATTTTAGCCTTTTTACCCTAAACAGTAAATGGTTAACACAGATAGCCAATCTTCCATTGCCTTGTCATTAACATTTTAATGGAGAGGCAGAGAACTTTTTCCTATTAAAGAGCTCTTGGCACACAGGAAAAATCGATCTGGCAATGTAAGGGCACAACTATTGATAGATGAAAACAGAACTACAACCAAAGTAGCCACAATTTGGAGGATTGCATAGCTCTTTTGCCCAACTTCCTTTTTTTTGGGGGGGGGGTCACTTCATATGAAGATTAAGACAAGTACTGCCATAGCCTGTAGCTTCTCCACCCCAATTCTAAAGGCAATGCTTGTTTCCTTTCTTTTTGGTGTGAATGATCGCTTTTTTACAGTAGAAGTTAATATATAATGTATAATATAACCTAATTAAAGAAAAATTATGAAGTACAGAAAAAGTAGTCTTTCATTAGATACAGAATTTAGCTTGGAGAAGTTTAAATGCTCCCATGCCTGTGGGATATGCAGAAATCACTAGAAAACTGGATATGTAAAATTGGCTAGAGAGCAGCCCTTTTGCAAAATTAGTTCATTAAAAAGAGTTAACAATTGATTACTATTTCTGCATAAAACTAATATGACAATTGTACCTATTTACAAGAATGCTTTCACATTGGTACAATTATATTTTGTGAGCGCCAAATATTTCTAATTCATCTGTATGAAACCATATATTATACATACCACATTCAAGAGACATGCTGTAACAAATGCATAGACCAGCTTTTCCCAAGTTATTGCCCTCCAGATGTGTTGGACTGCTACACTCACCTGTGGCCATACTACATGATGATAATGGGAGCCGCAGTCCAACACATCTCTAAGCAGCACTAAGTTAGGAAAGAATGAAGGAAAAAAGCAAGCATGTTGAAATTACCTTTCCCACTGATCATAGATGACCAAATTTCCAAACTGTCTTGCCTTATACCAAGTCACACAAGCATCTTCATCACCACAAAGACCTGTTTTTATTGTTTCATACATCTCATTTTCGTCATGCTTTGTCCCAATCAAGTTAAAGATGTTCCATCATATATTCATAGCCCAAACAATCCTCCTCCAATTTAGCACATCAAAGCAGACTTTATCACTTGCACGTGGATTATGCTAACACAAGAGACATTTGTAATGTTATAAGGTCTGCAACTTAAGACAATATTTTAAGCTATTATATAGGTAGCAGTGCTTTAAGAACCAGGCACATAAAAAGCTTATTTGAAGTCTTTAATGAACTTTAGCCTCTTTCATTGCTTAATGCCACACTATATGGTTTATTGAAAATTAGTTATTCTCTAGTACTTCTAGATTATATCACACAATAGTAAAAAAAACCCTAGTATGTTTAATTCTAATGATAGCATGAGTGCTTATATATAAAAAGAATGACTTTTAAAAGAAGTATCTTCAGCGTGAATACAGGAGACTATGTTGTCTCAAAAGAACTTTTCAGCGCTCTTCTGCTGATTCCAACATTTTAGGGAAATATGTTTGGAGTTTGCTTCTGGATGTAAAACACCTTTGCAAGCTATTACTTGGCCTCTGGGTTTTCATATATTGAGTTGGGTGGGTGGGTGTGAAGTAAAGTCCTTTACAGACAGCACAATAAATTGCAGATAGCACACAGTTGCTTAGCTTGAAAATACAGCCTGTTTGGCAATACATGAAGGAGTCACAGAATCACTTTCCATCTTCACCTCCCACATTCAAATTTCCTTAACTGGCTCATTTGGAAATCAGGGAGAGCGCAAAGGGGAGAATACCCAAGATTCAGTCATGTAGTACTAAATCATGGTTCGGCATTACAGCTGAACCAGCCCAATGTTTCAGTGGACTCTTCGGGAAATGCAATAAATTAACTGTGCATCTAATCAAAATTAAAATATGTACATTAAAATCCTTTAGTTTAAGGAGTTTGCAATTAACTTTACCTATTTTTAGAGTTTCACCCTGGAACCTCAAATGTATATATCTTCTTAGCCAGAAATAAAGCAATGCAATACTTCTCACTCCAGAGAACATTAATATTTTCAAGGAATTCATTTGGAATTTAAAATTTATGTCCTTCCTCAGTTTGCATGGATCACACAAAACTATCTTACAGGCAGATCAACATCAAGCACCACTACAAATTTAGACTATAAATTACTCATGGATTATGTTATTTTGGGGGAACCCAGCTTATACTTGAATTGTTCTGTGCTGGCGGAGATGAAGAAGATATGTGAAATTTAATGAAAAGCCAGAACTCTGCATGTTACATCTCCAAGCCAACGCTCAGAGCTATTAGTCATTTATAGAGTAAAAAAAAAAAAAAAATCTGCCAATCTTACGTAGAGTATCATGTTTTAGGTAATAAGTTGTGTCTGTATGAAATTGGATATGTGTCCATGAAATCACCAGAATCAAATTCAGCTTGAAGGACACTTTTTATCCATAATTACAAAGAGTATTTTGGGTCATGTTTGGCAACTTCTCTGCTGTGGCATGAATCTTCCATCCCTACCTATATAAAAATTAGTATTTCCATGGTGATGTTGAAAGGAAACATTTACAGGGCTACAGTCTTTAGGGATGGACAAAATGTGCCCCATGATGTCATGTGCCAAAAGCCAAAATAGATTGCTCCATTTTAACCATGTATTTCATTGCCATCTCTTTACATTTCCCCACGAAAGAATTTTCAGGAAATTGGGAGAGCCAGTGTTTCCAAACCATGGCAATTTACAGATGTCTGGGCTTCAACTTCCAGAATTCCACAGCCAGCATGGCCATTGATGACAATTCGGGGAGTTTAAGTCCACACACCTGGAAATTGGTTGGGAAATACTGGTGTAAATCAATCTACTATTAGCCACTTCATTAACTCCATAAACCAGCAACTACAATATTTAAAGTATTGTTTCCAATTTATAGACTTTGTCTACAGGGCACACACATAAGACTTTAATTACAAGAAGTTTTTGTACGCTTGCCTTGAATTTTCTATACCACTCTAAGCTTTTGGATGCGTTTCTATCTCTATATACACTATGGTGATTGTCAGATTCATTGGGTTCAAGAAAAAGATTTGCATGTAGGTCATATTCCGTACTTGCCAAAGCATTGAAAAAGGTTTTCACTTACACAGCACTGAAACAGTACTAATAGTTGGGGAGGAAGGGGCTATTTTACAGCAGAAAAATGAGAAATGTAATTCTTTTCTCAGGATGCTTTGCTATGATATGATGTGACATTTTAAACAAAACGTTCATAACCAGGACATTTTTGAGTAACTTGGCAACTCAGAAACTACCCTAATTCCTAGATGTGCTTTTGAATTCACAAAAAAATTATTACAGTTAGCACGTTAATAATGTTAAGAAAGACATACATTTCCTATCATTAATGAAAACTGGATGACTTAAGTGAAGTGAGCACAACATTCTTTAGTTAAATCTGCACTGCCATTAAACATTGCTGCTATAGAAATAAATCCTTGAAACATTAGACATCACTTTTGAGTTTGGTAGCACTCCTAAAAGTATCTCTTCATTCAGATTTCAATGCATTCCTTTTTGCCATAAAGCTACTGGGAAGCAGGAAAACCAGGTTTTAAAAATTAACTTATTGTGACAGCTATGTATGACTTCATTCCTTGATAGAAATTTGCCCCACTGCACTGAAGTCCAAAGTCAATTACAGTTGCTTTCATTTTAAGTTTTTTATTATTTAAATACACCATACTAGAGCAAATGTCTCTGAAAGTATCACAAATAAAAGATTTTTCTTCTTCATTCAGCAAATTAGGATAGGTGAAAATTCTACACAGTTGCTGCTATGAGCTTGATTTTTCTTTTTCTTGTTCTTTTTGTGTCATGGGAAGTAGCAACATTAGGACAAAACACACTTACATGCATACATACATTGTATTTTACAGAGATACAATAAAAGTATTTGTGATAGATTATCACAAGAGCCCCATCTTTCCATTAGCTCAGGTTTGAGTTTTGAAACATTTCCTACAACACTTAAATATACAAAGAGCAAAGAGAATGCTGTTAAGGTAAAACACAGGGTACAAATTCTCACCAGTGCCCTGCTAATTGTTAATGAGGGTAGAAAGCAGACTTGAAAGCTTATCTGAATTAGCTTCATTAGTCGTTTGCCCCACCCCTCCCCACCCACCAAAGTTGTTCTCCTCCGGTGGACTTTTTTCATTTTCTCTACAGTCTCCCATTAGCCCAGATTCATGGAGTTCTTAATGTTCGTTTTCAGTCATTTTAATACACCAATAAATGCGGGAAGGGCAATCAAGAGTAAAGAAGGTGCAATGGCATGAAGCTGGCACTGATGCTAGCTACAAAGGTGACTTGTCTACTGGAGACATGGGATCCATCTGTGATGAACAAAGTTTGAGATGAAGGCACGCATTCTGCAGTACTCTGATCTTTTAGCAGACCTGCAAGAAATAAAAAGGGGCATCTTAGCTAAAATGCTTGATTTGAGCTGAACGTGACTGCTTTCGTCTTCTTGTGATTCGCTTATTCTATTAAATTAGATTCCAACTGTGACTCGATTAAAGGTTTTCTGCAATACGCATCCAAGTCCCTAAAGAGTTCAAATTGAGAAACAGACCACAAAAATATTTTCTGCAGTTTTGACAGAAGATATACTTTCACCAAAGGAAAAAAAATGCTTCTAGTGAGAAATCCTACAGTCTCTTTTTATTTCTTTTACAAAAGATGCATTTCCTTTGGACTGGGATTAAATAACATGCCTTGCCTTTGAAGAACCAAGTAAAGCGATCTTCTAAATTAGGAAAAAAATTCTGTCAAAGCATATAAGATACCCTCCCCAAAGCAACGCTAGTTAGCATGCTGCATAGCACAAAAACTAAATATAGACATTTTGGAATATTTTCCTTCCATTTAAGATTCTTCATCTGCTATGTTAGTTAATGTTACATAAACTCTGTAATATACAAAGTCAAACATGTGCCTCCACTGTGATGTGTTAATGAATTGTGATAATTAAAAATGCCTAGCTCGACAGAAATCTAACTTCCAGAGATAAAGTAGAAACGATCGACAGTTTTCAAATGCAATCTGTTTGCAATTATGAAAATGAAATAATGTATTAGATTTTTATGTTTTTTAAATGACATTTTGAATTTCCTAGGAAGTTTTTTTTTTTACCCTTCCTTGAAGTTACTAAAAGCCTGAGGTCTATTAGTAACTGCAACCCCCCACTTTCAAGCTAATTAAACTGGTGGAAGCTTGGAGGTTTAATTCCCCAGAGCTGATGCTCAGTGTGAGAAAGGTAATTTGTCTGTCCAGAACAAAGATTAGGGAGCAGCCAGCAAGCATATTTAATAAATGAGCATCAAGTGTCCTCTACTATGGACACAGACAATACCAATTATGTAAGTACAAGGGAATCGTTGAATGATATGTAAACTAGAAGCTTCTCTGCAAGAGAAAGAATAGCAAAACGTAATCTAACGTAATCGTATCAAAGGGAATGCTTTGGTCACCACCAATGAAAGCAAATCTTATACCCCATAAAAACAGTCTGCAGAGTTGGAGAATAAAAGAAAGAGAGAGATGGAATCCAGTATACAACACAACAAAACAACTTGCCCTAGAGAAAGTTCCTCAGCTGCAAATATGACCAAAAGTTTGCAATGGGTGGCATAATAATCTTTTAAACAGTAAACTAAAAAAAAGCCATATAAATAAAGATTTTAATACCCAAAATTACTAGTGACTCCTCCTTCACCAGTATCCTTTGTATAACCACAAAGGATACATTTTCTAAAAAGTTCTACTTTAATTTGTGTACTATTGTGTAAAATTCAGGCACAGCTAAGTAAAACAGATAGTCTAAAAGAATGGATCAGACCACAGATGCTGTTACTGCTCATCCTGAGATATAGCTAACTGCAAGACTGGCAAATCTTAAATGCACGGCTTAAGAGTCAATATCTGATTCAAGAAAACTCGATATGCTCAATGGAGATGTGCTGTTTTGCTCCATTTCTTGTGATACAGAGTTTCTCTTTTTTGGAAACAGAAACACTGGAGATATTTGACTCACTGGGCCAATATGAACTCCTGATCATGATGCAGAATTTATACTAACCAGGGACAGAATAAACTGATTGGCCTCATTTCTATTACACTAATTCTGAAAATTGCTTTGCTGACTTCAGATGATTAATCTCCTATTTTAAAAAAAAACACATTCTGCTCTATCCTTCTTTTAAAGGATCTGTGTTAGTGATTCCATTTGTATTTATTAAAGCAAAACACTGAGTCAGGCACTATACACAGCACAGAAGAGAAACAGTTTCAACTCTTCCGTTTTAGATGACTGGAAGGCCCAATGCATATACCACTAGTGAAGAATGAAGTAGGGAGACAGATTCTAATCATGTAACCTGAATAAATCAAACAGCCCAGGCTTCTCTAGCACTATTTGGCTATGCCTGCCAAGTAGTTACTGACAACTGACAGCATCCAATTCTTCCCTCTGTGTAAAGTACAGAATATTATCCCCAAAATATGCAACACGCATGGGAGAACAAACTACTTGCTTCCAAAATGCTACATCCTTGAAGCTCCTTACCCAATGCTATGTGAGGAAATTAGCTAAGTTACTTACTAGACTGGACTAGAGTTACCCACTAAGAATGACATGTTGCTGCCCCCATTCATCCCCCGCATCTTTTAATGTACTACAGCAACACAGTTAATATCCTGTTTTTATTTAACTGTTCTGTCTGGGAGATGGATTCAGCTTTGCAATTCTAGTATACCAATTTCTATCTTCTAACTACAACTGCTAAAGCACATAACACACAGGGAAAATGTATAAAGTAACAACCAAGCATATTAGACTTCAAACATGCTCACAGTCACCAGGAACAAATATAAAAGACCTTGATTACTTTTTAAAAATGGCATTATTTACTAGCAAGGAGATCAGCTTGTACCTAGATTATAAATCACTTGGATTCCCAAACAATACCAAGAGAACGTAGATATCTTAAACCAGTTTATTTGGAAATAATTCCTATCAAACTCAAAGGTTTGTTTCCAAATAATGTGCACAGGAGTCCTTAACTGCATCTGGCCTATTTAAGAGCAAGACATGCATGGTAACTACTAAACAAATGGCAATTATCAATTGTAGCAAGGTTCTATCTATTCAGGGAGAAGCTAATATTTTTCTGAAATATTTACCCTCTAAAGACAGAGTGTGTTTATATTCTCTTGGATGCTTCGGAATTCACAGACTGTCCAGGAGATGGGTTTAAATATTATCTTCAAAATTCTTACTAACAGATAAATGTTATTTTTTTTTCCTTTGCTATCCTTAGAACAGACATTAATGAAGTTCCTATTGTAAATCCATAAAAAATTACCAGGTGAAGTGTGCACTTTGTTTCAATGTAATAACTCAGGACTGTGCGACTGCCTGGGTTAATGATGAAAAAGTCAAATATACTATCAGAGCTGATGGAAAAATCCATCACCAATTTGAAATTAAAATTCATCTGTGGTCAATAAGATTTAATATCCATGCAAGAGGCGCTGTAAAGAGTAAATGAATCAATGTCATCAATACATAATCAGTATGAAATATGATGCGAATAAAATTATGTGCAAGACTTGTGCATTCAGAGTTTTCTGGACCAGTGTGGAATGAACAGTCCCTTAACTGAAGGTTGACAGTAATTATTATAAATTAGGCATTGCAGTTATCAAAATGCACTCACTTGCATAGCTATGGGACTTATTAGGGAGATTAAAATAGATCTAAAAACTGTCCAATTCCAGCAGAGATATAATAGAACTGTTGATCATTATTGTTTCCTATTCCACTAACTTCAGAAAAACCATATTATATTTTAGCACCAGAAGTTAAGGGACATATCATGCACGTGATCAAAAGAAGCTAAAAGAAGATTGTCTTCTCCCCCCACCATCTGCCCAAGATTTGGCTAGTCAAGCTGGCAAACCAAACACAGGGCAACTAGATTTCAGATGCAACGATCCCATATACCACAATTAGCTTAATAATCCAAGAAGCACTTAAGACGTTTGCATCCACAATGGCCTGTTCATCTACCAGAACAGCTGTGGCCTATACGTATACATATATGTTTTTGAAATCCACATACAAATTGGACTCAAATTAAACGAGAATCATTGCACTACTTAAAACACCTTCATGTTTAGACACGCATCCCGTTTAACAGTTCAATCATGTGACGCTGTTTGAAATGATATATGCAGTATTGTTTGAAAAGAAATTAATCTCGATTTAGCTTTAATAAGGCCTATTAACAATTGTTCAGTATTCACCTTCTGGTCTGGCAGTAGTGGATTGCTCTGAAGTGAATTCAAATGGCCATTGATGAGAGCTGTAGGTCTATCATGTTCACAGAATAAACTGCCATTGATGTAGTGAAACCTGTCTCCAGGGACCAGGCGGTTTCGGCAGGTAGAACACGTAAAGCACTGGGTGAACAAAAGCAAATGTAAACTTTGGAGTTAGAATTCCAAACATACTCTGCATTGCATTACAGCAAGAGGTATACATAGATGTGTCCAAGTAAAAGAATATATGGCACCTGTTAGGACTCAGCAGTGTTTTCAAATGTGTGTGTTGCCCCACAAATCACTAGGACAACTTGTACATCTTAGAAATCTTTTCCATTTACAACTAACCCTCGCTGATGAACTCAGAGGAGATGTTAATCTTCTTCCAAAGCAGATGTAAGTGCAGAAATGGCACTATTCACAGAGGGAGGGGAAAACATCGGAAAGAGAGGTTTTCCTACCTTAAGATGATAGACATTCCCTTGTGCCCTCATAACCAGCTCACTAGCAGGAATTGACTGCCCACAAGCACTGCAAGCGCCGCTATTCCCAAATAACCTGAAAACAGAAAGTTGATGCTTGATACGTTTCTCTGTGAATAAAGAAGCCAGAACTGAAACAGCAATTTCCAACTGATAAAATCCTCTTCCAAGACCTGGTTACGTACTTTGGGATGCAATAAATTTAAAAGACAAAATACACACCAAACCGACTGAGAATCATCCCATGCTGCTCAAGACTTGAAGGCGCAGGATCTAATAAAATATTGAATTCCATCTAGCAACACAAAGCAATTCTCCACACTTTTTATCAGATTACTGGGTTTGTCATAAAAAAACAGGACAGAATTCATGACTTGAGTTTAAATGTATTGTGTCCTTGAAATTATATGAAGAACTTTTTTGTACTTTAATCATATCTTGAGAGATGAGTCATCAAAAGGGTTAAGAGGATTTGATTGTATATCTAAGACGACATCATGCTCAGTGTATTGAAACTCCAGTAAACCTCCATCAGGGCAGAGTTTCCATTAGAAACTCTCGGCTATCCAGGTTGATATATAATGTGTATGGGTTAACCTTTTCAATCATGGTGTCAACACTTTAGATTTGCCTCTGCTCATCTCTTTCATCCTAACCTTCTCTCTCTCTCTCGATAATGAAATGCTTGCTCCAACTTCCCTCTATCTGCTCCTGAGTCCACAATTTAGATTACTTCATCTCTGCTAGCAACAAACTGAATGAAATTTCGATTTGAGCAGAAAGTAATTTACCGGGATCTGGACCCATTTGTCATCATATCTCTCTGGGTGTTTGCTGTATCACTGCAGTTTTCCTATGCAATCAAATGAGACCACAACATCTGCCATGGGGGGGGGGGAGGAGAGGAGGGGGAGAGAGAGAGCAAAAGAGAGGGAAAGGAGAGAGAGAGAGAGAAAGGAGGCAGAAAAAAAAAGGCGTAGGGGGGAGGAAGACTGTAGAAAAACATATACAATTTTTCTACTGCATTGAGATATACTTTAATAAATATTGATGATTCTCTGTTTTGTACATATTTTAACACACATTCTGTAAAAAGCTTTTTTTCCCTTTTTTTTTTTTTTTTTCCTTTTCCCTACTGCATCAACAATAACCTATAATGATGAACCCTCAACCATCTCACAGCAGAACAGAAATCCAAAGTAGCTGGCAGGCTCACACTGATTCCCTTTCTTTACCATCACCCCACAGCATATGGGGGGAGGAAGCATTAGAACTTGCCAAATTATTGCACTGCTGTTGCAGTAAAGATTACTTATTTGCACTGCCTACCCCCCCCCAACAGTAAAGTCATGAAATTGTACATGGGCATTATTTTGGAGGATGTGTTTTTTTCAGAAAACACTTTAATCTGAATGTTTACTGCATACTTCTGTATCAAGGAGAGAGAGAGGAAAAAATAATTGCTTTGAGTTTTCCAGAATCAGTGCTTGCAGAGGGAGGCTTGTCATGTTCAAACTACTAATTTGCTGTCGCCACTTTATTGAAAATAGCCTGTAAGTTGTTATTAAATGTATCGACTGAACGACAGGGAGAGTAGTAAAACTGCCCCTTAAGATGGCTTTTAATAGGAAGCCTGAGAAACAAATTTTGCAGCAGCATCGATTTGAAGAGTTCAATCAAAACTCCATTTCAAAACTAATTAGTCTGAGATCCGCAACACACTGACACTTTCTTACCAGTTAGAATGGGTACAAAGAGAACACTGAACTAATACAGTGCCTTCACCGTCTAGAAAACTGAAGGGGTGCTATTCTGCTATCTGCTCAATCAGTAGGACCGCTTCAAAGTATTTGCAAGAACCACCTTGCCTCCATCCAAAGCTTTACTATGTATATTAGTTTTCACCCAAACCCCTTTCCCACTTATCATCAATGGTAACAGCCAGAAAGAAGTCACTTAGAAAGGCAGCAGGCAAGGCTGCTTTAGGTATGTTTGCTAGAACTAGGGCCCAAGTGGTAATGCTATTATAAATGAAGACTTTTTCACTGCTACAAAAGGTAAACTTCATGATTGTGTGAGTGCTCTCTTCTGAAAAATGCATTCTCCTTAAAAAATATGCACACACCCACACCCTTCTACTTCTCCTAAAGACATAAAAACTTTTCACAACCTCCTGTGGAATAAGAGGGGAGCTGGAACACACTAGCCCACTGAAATCAAATATAATGCTTCCGATTTCATTGGGCCTCAGCTCTTCGTCAGGCATGTGCTATACAAGTTTCCCCAACTAAAGGCAGCTGTGTGTCTGAAATCTAAACTAAACAGATTTTAATCACTGCAGAAGTCCGACAATAATCCAAGAAAGTACCTGCTCATTTAGACTCCACGCATAAAGCCTCAGCCTAGAACAATTTGTCTTCTTTGTAAAAGAACATCTGCAACTGAAAATTATAATTAAAGATGTTCCGCAGATATTTAATATGTAGATTTGGGCTACTAAAAAGAAAGTGTTCAGGCCACCTACTTTTTTTTTTTTTTTTCAAAAGTGCAATTCGATTTTTCTTCTTCATTAACAGGATTGCTTTTATAAGGTAGCGGGTTTAGTGGATAGTTTTGGAGAAATTTTATTTTCCTGAGTAGAAAGACAATGACTCCTAACTACCTCCTTTGCTGAAAAGTTATTTTTACATGGGTTCTGTGAGAAAGGAAAGTTAATTAGCTAATCAGGGAGACTGTCCAGGACAGTATTTAATTTAAAAGGCTGGAGGCTTTAGATACTAAATTAGGAAGCTATCAGTCTCAGAATGGACTTTAATGGTCTCTTTTTTCTTTAACTCCAGCAATGGAGGAGAGATACCCCAGGTCAGGCTAATTAAAGCCAGGGGACTCTTTAATTGCAATGACAGAAGTGGTTTCAGTTTCCTCTCTTTGGGTCCTGGAGTCTAAGGAGGTTGTTAATATTTCAACATTTGGGCAACAAAATCAATCACCAACATTGCAAAGTTGCATATATGGATGAAAGAAAGTCTACCAAAGAGCCACCTCAGTGTTAACTCACCTCTCTTCCCAGCACCATCCACATGGCTGCTAGAAGTTTAAAGCAGGACAGTGGGAATGAGATCAAGGAGTTTCTAGCTCAGGCTGCTCAAAAATGCAGTTAACTCAGCTTGCATGCTTTGCAACTAAATTACAAACACTAATACCAAAAAAAAGAGAAAAAATGGATTTTGAGAACTGTAGAATTCAAACATCTCTGCACTGATAGCTCATGGCCTCCTTTGTCCCTTGCATGGAAGAGAGCGGCCGGACAACTACTTCCAAAAGTTCTCCTCAGAAAAAAAGACATATCCAAAGCTACCGATCCAAGGCAATTGGTTTTCCAACTGGATCCAAATTCTGCCCTCGATGTTGTATGGAACAAAGGTTACATAGAAAATGATGCCTGGAGCCAAGTTGATTAAAGGTACTTCAGCATAACTATAGCCCCAGCACTTTAAAAACACCAAAGGCTATCAATACTGAAAAGGGGAAGAAAGGAGGATGTGCAAGTACTGCATTGGGGGGTGAGGGGGGGGAGAGAAAAAAAAATCAGCCAAATTACGCTTGGTTAATTCAGAGTAACAGATCTGCCCCCAAGTGAATTGGAGGCCTTGAATTAATTCTGTTATGACAAATCAAGATAAACGTTCCCCCTAAATTGCATGCGATTTAATTAATTTTTGAGATCCTGGATTTTTTTTTTCCAAGCTAATAGTTCACATGCTCCTGTGCTGTCATTGTGCTTGAGTGGGCAGACTTCAAAGTGATATTAAATAACCAACTATTAGATTTACCTAGCACGTCCTATTGGAAAAATGCCATTTAATTACCTAGCCTGTTCAATTAAAGGGACAGCATTCCCTGAATATAGCAGCTTGCTGTTGATTACCAGAAAAATGAACTCGCTGCCTGGCGGCTCCCTTGCTTTCCTCCCCTCCTCAAGTAGCTCAGACTGCGGACAACCACGTGAATGGCAATGAGCAGCGAGGAGAAAATAGAGCATCTTTTGCCTGTTGAAATAGGGACCGAGTGCCTGCCCTGGCATGTCAAATACTCCATGGGCCTTAGCAGGGTGGGTGGGGGAAGCTGAATAGCCCATTCCATCCAAGGACAAAACCATTTGATCTGAACCTTAATTAAAGCAAAAGAAAAAAAAATAGGCACCCTTCTCTCTCTTCACCCCTCCCCAGCAATGGATTCCAGATGGGACATATTAAACCATATTAAATAGCCATTGATATAGATGGGTGCTAAGGCACTAGCCCTTTAAGAAAAGCCTATTTTGCTTCCCCACCACCACACTTTTCAAATCCACCCTAGCCAATTCTCTCTTGCTCTCTCCAAGGCCAATTTTGTTAATTAAATGTTTTGTTTGCGACACCGCACTCATTCATTTCGGACACGTCATTCCAGGCAGATCTAAGCCAGGGATGAGATCTCATTAGATAAAACCTATCAGAACTAAGAGAAAATGGAGGAGACACTAATTAAAGCTCTTAATTGTGCAGATTCACTGCCACACTGCTGCCGCTTTATCTAGAATCTCATGGCTGGGAGGGCTGCCCATCACCTCCTCCTTTCCAACTCTCCCCCCTCCCTGGTTCACTTAGAGTACTATGGTTGCAAGTTAAGGAGCCAGAAAAAAGTCAATGGACTTCCATGCCTTTACACATGCACACAAGCATCCTTAAGCTGCCAGTGCAATCTGTAGCTGTTTTGAGCCCAGTTTTGAAAAACTACAGTTCAAAGTCAGTGTAAAAGCCCCTTGATTAAAAAAAGAGGGGGAGGCAAATCTGCTCCTATCACAGTCTTAAAGCAGTCATAGGCTTTCATTTCAGGTCTGCATAATCAATTCTCCTCTCAGCTTTATAATGAAAGCATCCTACTGTAACTCTAATTAAAATCATCGCTGGAATTTCTGCACGCAGCCCATAGAACAAAATGGGACTTTGGAGGACTCTTCTTTCCATCACCTCTTGTTGCCCCTCCTCTATAAAAACCATATGCACCAGACCGAATGCCGATAAAATGGTTGCATCCTATTTCTCGGTAGACTAGGATTTCCACTTAGGTATGCTGAAAGCATTTTGGATACCAGTGGAAAAGCTAGTCTTTTTTATATACTTAGATCAGTAGCCCTTTGTTCTATGGAACAGACAGACTTCCAGAAGCACATACCTGATATATTAAAATGTCCTGATCTTCATTTTACCAGGCAAACTACTTGGTTCTACAGAAAAGTCAGGCTGATGGAATAAAAATCAGTTCACGTTTACCGTCGGATAAAGAATCCTATTTGTAACAGCCCTGTACGAAACCTGCAATATCTTTTGGCCACATAAAAACCTGAAGGATAGATTCCAATAAGCTGGTCTGAACTTGCCTCAGGGATACAGTAGAGAACTTCTCTTTTTAATTAGTAGTGATCATAAGAGGTTTGTTTGACGGTTTTAGTAGAAAGAGACAAAATCTGTACTGTTCATTGAATCTGAACAGTAGTGTCAATTTTTCCACTTCAAACAAACCTCTTTTTCTAACCGTTCTGCTCTATTTAATTAGAATTCTGTCTCGCTTATGTAGTTGCTTCGGACAGAGATCAAGAATACATCTGTGCAAGCTTGCACAAACTTGTGTTTTATCATTTGTTCTAAAAATCTAGATGCTTAGCAAAATTAATACTGGAAGCTGCCTAAAATCTTTCAATGACTTTTTTTCCTGTATTCTATTTAGCTGACTGAAAGTGCCTGCAGAAAAAAAGGGTAAATAATACATTACAAGCAAGCAAAAACCTCTTTGGTGCTTTATTCTCAAATATCAGTATAGGATGGCCAAAATTCAGCACAGCACTACATCTTGCTATTCTATAGTCCTGTACAAATTCTACCAGTAAAGCATTTGAAATATTTATAGCCAAACACCCCAACATCTGAGGCAGGGGTATAAGGAAAATATTCAACCATGAAACTGGTTCTTTCACCCTCTCAGGCATTAAGACACTTTTATAAATATAGGCTATAAAGTCCGAAGATGAAGACTACTCAAACAACACCCCATATGCCTTTTTTTCACATTCTTTCCATGCTGGGGGGCGGGGGGGAAGGAAGCTGTTTAATTACTGGCTGCTGAACTAGAACACCCCCTCAAAGCATTCATGTGCATCAGTCTATCAAGCCATTTACTCAAATTAAATGTGTAATCCTTCAAAATGCCTCCTTTCAAATTAGTTTAAAGGAGCTCAAGTTCACCTGAAAAGATCCAATAGGTACCTGACCTCTTAAAATTCTTTCTGTTAACTGCTTTAAAAATTAGTTTGCATTAGAAAAAGAAATCTGATATTGAAAAAGTGAGGTGAATGTTTTATGTAATTAGAGATATTTAAGTGCTTATCCATCTACATACAGTATTCCTTCACCATTGAAAAATAAGCCCTCCAGCAATATGAACATAACATTACTATTGGGCTACAATTTTGGGTATGTGTCACCACATCATCAACAGTTGATCAACACTTTTACAACACATATACAAAAAAAGCATCATTCTAAACCCTCTTATTGAAAATACTACAGTAAACCATTACTTTATCCTTTCAAACAAGTCCTAGTTAGCTCTATTCTTGAATTTTTTTAAGGTGGCAGAGAAACCCAATTCTACTCTTGCAAGATAATAGTTTTTCGCAGCTGACTGTGAGCTGGAATTCTTAAAAGTTCAGGAGCATCTCAAAAGTTAATTTATTCACATCTCTCCAACTTTCCTCTTGCTATCCGGGAAAGGAAGCGCCCTTATAAAATCAAGCTTCTAGTTCTGAACTACTATCTGCAGATGGGGTTACTTCTAGCTCAACCTTTACTTTGTATACGTGCGTCTCCTTCAAAGAACCAGCCTGCTTTCCCTCCACCCGGCTCACCTGATATAGTCATTTCTGCACAGGATCATGCCACTCTTAGTGTAACAGGATGTACCAATTTCTCCCAGCTGGGCTTGGCAGCAGGAGCACTTCAGGCACCGACTGTGCCAATAGCTATCCATGGCATAGAGCAAGAAGCGATCAGCAATCTTTCCCCCGCAGCCTGCACATCTTTTCCATGAGAGGGAGCCACTGGTGACAGGGGGGGGTTGCGAGCTGCTGCCTGGGTTCACCATGGTCTGGATAGGAAAAAAAGAAAAAAAAAAGAAGGAAGGAAGGAAGGAAGGAAGGAAGGAAGGAAGGAAGGAAGGAAGGAAGGAAGGAAGGAAGGAAGGAAGGAAGG